TATATATATATATATATTCAGCTACAATTTTGATCTAAAAAAATGCAAAACTCATCAAAAGAGAAAGTAATTTACTCAGAAGGAAAATTCTTGAGAGTGCCACTATCAAATTTTATCAAAATATAAATCTAGGCCCTAGTTTCTTTCCACTTTCACCTTTCCTGAAAGAATTACTACATCCCCAAGCCAACAATGCACAACCAGAAATGTTAAAAAATCAAAAGAAAACTGTTAAATCCATTACCTCCATGTTTTTGAAGATGTACAGCACATGCGTCTAATAACAATCTAATCACAATTTAAACAATATTCATTTAAAAAACATTTCTTGAATATTACTTGCTTACTTTTTACCTGACTTTGAATTATAACACTTTGTGCCGTCCACATTTTGATTAACCTTTCAACCACCTGATGAACATTCATGAATGTTCTCAAATTTAAAAGCTTTGATAAACCAATAACGTCCTTGCTTTTGTATATAAACATGTTTAACAAAATAAATCCTGCATTGCCTTGATAAAGTTCTTCAAAGTACAAAAGACATTAGCTAAAAATAGTTTTCCTCGTCTTTTATTCATATATTACTGCATTATGTTAAATAGTAACCTAAGTCAGTGTTAAAGTATTTTTCTCTGATTATACAGTGTATATACACATTCATGAATTTGAAATGTCATTTTCTATCTGATAGTACATATTTTATACATATATTCATTACCTTATTTTATGCCTAATTTTGTTGTTTAGCATTGTTGCTATATTCACTTAAAATGTTAAAGCATTCATAAAAACGCACACACACACACACACACACACAAACTTTGTTTATTGATGGGTATTAAAGGAGGAGGAATCCTACAACTCAGATGGATACACTAATTACGGGGCAGAAATCTGCTTGTTCTATCTTCCTATCATTGTTAGTACTTATGAGAGGAGTTGGACTGGGAGAATAGGTGAGCTTAGCATTAGTACTTGGTCTAGCTTGACTCTTTGTAGCTGGCCTTGCCATGACTGCTCACTAATGACTGTGATTTTCTTGCTATCAGGCTCTTTTTGATGGTTATTATCCTGCACCTTTGCTATCTTCTGCCACTACTGATTAGTAAGAAGGGGGGAAGTAATCAATTTGATTATGTTCACTTGTATATGCAAGTAAAAAACACATACACACACACACACACACACACCTGTTTAGCAGTCTTGGCCTGATTTTAATCACAATGATGTTGTCTTTGCCACATCATATTTTGGTCATTACTTAATTTACGTGCAGTCATTAGAGGAAATAATCATGTTTAGTATTGACTGAAGCTGGTCTATTACCTACATTTTTGACCTTGATAGTAGAGATAGGTAGCGGTGTATTTCGTATTAGTGCAACACTTGAAATATAGTGTTCATTTATAATGCAAAGTAGTCTTATTTATTTTTTCCCAAATTAATGTAATCTTTTTATTACAAACTGTATTCAAACATCAAAATACTCACTCTTTTATGGATATTTTTATGGGTTTTAATATTCAATATTATGAACAAGGTTTGTTTTATCTGCCCTAGGATCAGTATAAATTGTACTCCAAGCTGCTTATGATTAAAATATCATTCATGTGATGCAATATAACAAGAAAATGTTAAATTTTCAGTGTGACATTACAATGTGAACTTTTACAAATGAATAAAATCTACAATTAGTAACCAATCAAAATGGCATTAACCTTTTAGGTTTAATATGAAAAGCCTAGAAGACCAAAATAAATGATTTAGATTTTACTAGAAATACTCTCATCTGTTTTATGCAAAGTAAAATCCTTTATTTTGAACTAAACTTTGAAAGAAGAGAAAAAGTAATTTTGATAAGAAAACCCAGAATTGATGAAAAGGAAATTCATTATATTAATATAGTTGAGTGACAGACATGAGACAGAAGATAATGATTGATGGATTTCTCTATCCTGCAAAGTGCTTAACCAGGGTGATATCTGCTGGTTGTGGATATAAGTTTTTTTTTTTTTCTCTCTCCAAGAAATTAATGTATTTACTAAATTTTTAATGGAAAACTGAGTTTGGAAAGTGCATTTGGACTTAAGAAGAAAACTGAATGGGAAAACAAAAATATCTCGCCCAGAAGGGCAATGTGCAAGATCAAACCAAGTAAATTCAAATAGGCTTCATTGTAGATGCATGATTAATTACTGTTTATCAATAATTAATTTTTGCCCACAAAGTAGGTATTTTACAGAAATAAGAATATTATGTTATTTAGTATAGGTAGTGCTAATACTGAAAAATTATAGTTATCGCCAGAAACTTTAATTGCTTGAAGGTGGATTGATTATTTGATGCCTTAACAATTGTGGTCCCATTTTGATAGTTGTAGTGAAAGAAACTTGGATTAATTAATTTACAGAATAGACACACTAGAACCTATCAACTAACTGACCAATCAAAGGTTGGAAGTAAGTGTGTGAAAGTTGATTGAGATTTACATGTAAATGATCTAAAGGTCCAACCATTTTGGAGAATCTTCCAATATAAGACATTTGATATTGCTCTTTAGCAGTTGCCACCAGAAGCAGCCATGATCAACAGACAAACTGCCAGTCCACTTCCCCAACCACCTTTGCACGATAAACTTATCATAAGCTTTTCAAAGCTATCAGAGAAAAGATTTGTCGACTTTTGATTGCAGGCTTGGCACTAAAGTGCCCTCATTGCATTAAGTTGGTGATTTAACAAACCAGTGAAGATTGACTATTTGTAACCCTAACTGAATGAATACATTATTTTTGGCTATCAGTAACATTACTACATTTTAGCATAAGAGAATGAGATTTTCTTTATGGAAATAACTTAGTCAAATTGGTAGCAGCATAAGTTTGATATAAGCTGTTTGTAACTTACTACTAAATCCTGTAAATCTGTATAAATGGGGGCAAGAGGAAAGAACAGCATGCCAACTGTGTGATGGGACAAGACCCCCTGCAGCATATATTAAGTACAAGGACTGCAAAGAGGATGTTGAGGATGGTATCATAATAAATTATATTGACAGTAGAAAAAGCCTCTTGAGATAACAAATATCAACAAAGAAGAAGAAAAAAAAGCATTTTGTAGAAGCTGAATAGAAAATTATCACAAAATGAAATTCATACATACTAAACACTACACCCAAGTGACAACTTAGAGAAGAAAGAAAAAAAGAAATTTCTTGAACACATTGAAACAACTTTTTGTCCAGATATAATTTTCTTGAATGTTATCAGAAACTGACAATATATGAACTGTACCATGGGAAATATTTTACTAGTCTACAAGGGAAAATGTAAATATCTGGAATCTAAGTGGGAACTGCAAAAAATAATCCATGGCAAGCCTGGTACCAACCCATACATCTGATGCATAAGATTTGTAGGTAAATCTTTAAGCATAACACTAACTAATGTTGGAATTAATGGAACAACAAAAATATAATTAAAAAAAAGAAAAAACCTCAGCAATTCCAGAGAGAGCATATTGGTTGATATAGATTAGACTGTCTAGTGAGGAATGGACAAATAACATGGAAATGCCCCCTCAAGTTATTACACTTATGTAATTTTCTCTCTTTATATATATATATATATATATATATATATATATAATGTTGAGGAGGAATAGTAGAGTAATAGATAGTGGCTTGGATTGAGTAATTGGAGATCTGAGTTCAAATTTCATTTGAATCCATTACATTCACTTATGTACTAATATCCTTGGGAAAGGTATGAATCCTCCGCTTCTTGCTCCAGCTATGGGTAAGTAGCAGACAGACTGGGTTCTATAGCCTTGGATGGCAACTGGTCTACCACAGAAAGAAATGGCAACCTACTGTGGTGGTGGGGCGGGATCTGCCTGGTCAGTCATGTATCAAGATACATAATCGCCTAAGCATGTATCATGCATGATACATAACTGACTGATATATATATATATATATATATATATATATATATATATATACACACACATTACAAAATTTAACAAATACCTAAGAAAAATATCAAACAGACTGAGACTTATCTATCAAATAAGAAAAAAAAATTAACTGGAAAAGTTTAATGTTATTAAATAGGCAGATGGAGACTGCAGTAACTGTAAAACCAGTTTTCATTGGCTGCATTCCAAAATAATCAAATCCATATAAGCTCAGGCCAAATTTTATGGATTAAACTGAAAGAGGCCAGGAAGCTGACCAGAAGGTGATTACTCTTGATTGGGTTGCCTGGGAGAGGATGTACTCCCTAATGACACTGAGAACAAAAATTACTAAAGCTTCCTGTTTACACTGCAGGGGTATTTGAGATATACATTACTTTGGTTGGTTATTTATTTAAATAATAGATTGATCAAAAATGAATGAAAATCTAATGTAATAGAAAAGATAAATATATTCGAAATTAATGACAATTCAGGAAGTCTGAAAATAAATATTCAGTTATCTATTCAAAATAGAAACAATTTAAATATGCTTTTTTTTTTCTCAAGTATTTTTCTGTATCCAATTGTGCATTGACAAATTTTCATTAAATTTAGACATTACCTCAATATCTGGAACACTTTATTAAACTATTTAAAAAAACAAAATATAAATAAATAAAATAATTCATATTTGGCCTTTCCCATAAACCTCATAAAATGTAGATAATGTTTTATTTTTTTTCTCAACAAACATCCTTGTATGTATTTTGTATTTTCATAACACTTATCGTGTGCTCATTTTTTAATTGGTTGTTGCTTTGTGCCAAAACTCACCTAATCCAAATGTCTATTGATATATCAATTTCAAGTGATTGGGAAATTTCTTACTCAAAGTACTTTTTCCCTCCACTTCAATTATACTTTCTCAGGCATTTTAATTCTATTGGTGGTGTTGCATTTTTGTCACCACCATCACTCGCTTTTTTTTTCTTTCTTTTTTTTTCTTTTATTTTCTCTCTGATCATTTACTTTCATTCCAGATGCAGAAAGCTGATCCAAATTATGGAGTTGGCATTAATCCGATCAGTCGCCTCATTCAAATCAGACAAGCAAACAAGAAGAAAGAACCGGTTTACACACTGATTGCAGAAAGGGGACTGCCATGGCGCCGAGAGTTTGTTATGCAGGTAACAAGTTTTAACTTTATTTCTGTCTTTTTTTCTTCTTTTTTTTTCTCTCTCTTTCTGATCTCTTTAAATTAAATTCCTAACTTGTCAACAAGTCTATTACATCAGCATATCCATGGTGGATTTTGTTATGCAAGAAACAATGTAATACTGTGAATTTTCTCTTTCCACGTGTTTCATTATGAAGATTATGAATGGTTGATTTAATGTCCCTATATCCATTATTAAGTTTAAGTCTCACTACAACAATCAGCTAAAAAGTACTTGTAAAAGGTAATAAAAAGAATGTTAATGATTTATACCAATTGTTGATTCTTCAGAAAATCCTTTTTCACATTTCACTCAACATACTCTATTGCAGTCATGGTGACATGGAATGATTGATTTACTCTATTGTTTGATGCATAAAGATGGCTATTAATCTGAGGATAGCTTTTCATATTGATATTTCATCTTCACGTTATTTACCTGTGTAAATCTCTTCTGGCTTTAATTGAATAATAGATAATGCTTTAAATTACACAATTGCTTGTGTTAGGTTTTTAATCACATTTTTTTTTTCTTAATACTCAGGTCACTGTTGATGAACACACCTACACAGGTGTTGGGCCAAATAAAAAATTAGCCAAAAGGAACGCTGCTGAAGGCATGCTTCAGTTGCTTGGTTACAGTCGACCAGCCCCACAGCCGGCCAAGCCTGCAATCAAAACTGGAGCTAACTCAGAGGTATGTCTCTTATTAACCCATTGTACCTACAGGGATTAAATCATAATTATTCCCCTCACCACATGCAATATAGACTGGAATCTGTAAATTATTTTCTTCTCTTGGATTTTTTAAATTTTACAAGGAAGTACTTGGCCTGAGCAAGAAGGTTTTTAAAGAAAATTTGGTAGTTTGGTCAGATTTTGGGAAGTAAGTTAAGTTTAGAATTTTCAGCCCTCTCTCATAAAATTTACTGAACTAAAAGACTTATTTATTGTATTAAAATGAACATTTTTTTCTTCTTTTTTTTTTTTTTTTCTTTTTCTTTTTATATATATGTCCCAAAGTGTAAAGCATGTCTGCCAATTTGATATACTTGCTGGTAATTTGCTTATTGATTCCCTGTATCCACACTGCATTGGGAAAACTTCCTCTGCTTCACTTTCTGTTAAGTTTTATGCTATAATTTAAATTCAGGACACTCAAAAGTGCTTTGCATGCCTGTTGATTATATACCAATATTCTTTATTGGTTTTTGCAATTTTAAATGATAATGCATGTTATCCTAGAAGTATTCCCAAAAGTAATTGGGCTGTAAATACCTTTTTGCAGTATGTTCACATGAGTTCAACACATTTTTACTGCATGATTATAGTGTTTTATAAAATTAGGCAAAAATTTTGTCCTATATATATAGGCAAGTTTACAATATTCCCAACAAGTGTCTAATACACTGTCATATTTTATTATGCAAGTTAATGTTTTCACAATGAAATTGAGATTAACCAACCAATATTGTTAAAGTTTTTGGAGTATATTTACATTTATATTAGCAGTATATTGTTTGTTTTAGTTTATATATCCTTGATAAAAAAAAAAAAAAAATCTATCATTTTGTGGACACCTGGTTTCATAACAGATTTTTTTATCTACAAAAATATAGACAGTAGAAACAAATATTTGATTAAAACAATATATTCATATATTTAAATAAGTTTTATTTACATTAATATGGATTCCTTGATATTCTAAAACCTTCATCAGTTCATTCATTGATTTGTTAACTTTCTACTTGACTTTAACAATCATAACTTTTATTGTTTCTTGGAGATCTATTTTTGATTCTATCTAAATATTTTCCATTGTCATATACATCTCTTTTAATGATGGACTTTTTTGTGGTTTTCTTTTTTACTTTTTTTGTGGAGTATGTATCTGGCGAGGCTAGAGACCATTTCATTAATTTAGTGTCTTTGAAGCCATTTTTTGGTGAGATGGACAGTAGCCAATTTTGTAGACTTTGAAAAGGCATTGTTTTGCATGAATATACTCTTTAGCTTACAGCTTTTTAAGTTTGACCTGTACTACTCAAACAACATCTTGTCACTGCATTTATTTTGAACAAACTTTAAAGGAACCTATAATTTTCGTGCTTTCAATATTAGCCCAAAACATAACTCCACTTTACTTCTAAGTTGTGTTGATTGTCTATTTCCATATAGGACCCAACTTTTAGCCCAGCCATCTGCCCTATTTGAAGCTCTACATTCATCACTAAAGATTATTGTTGAGAAATCCATTTCCGTATACTTCTTTGCCTAACTTGCATGTTTCTCTTATGTTTATTTAAAGATGGTAATTTTTTATACTTGTATATGCTGCATCTTTTCTCATTACATTAGTAACACTAACTGCTTCAAATACTTTTAATTTATCTCAAATCTCTTATGATATTTTTAAGCCAGTTTTTTTTTCTTGACAAGGTTTTTTTGGATTGTCCTATAATTTCTGTTCAATTTTTTTCTAATTTTTATGTGATATTCCCATTGCTGAAAAACTTTAAAATATCTTTTTTCTTGAGTTTGTCTTGTGACCTGCAACAATTTTTATTTATTAAAATTTAAAATAAATATTCACTTACAATAGGATAAACAATCTTTGAGTTGCATAATAAAATTCCACACCACCAAATAAGCCGTGTATGTTTAATAAAATGGATATAAGATGAATATATAAAATAGTATATTTATAAGTATATACTGAGATTTTTACTAATTTTATTGAAAAAAAAGATGTTGACTAGCATTATAAAATCTGATAGTTATCTAAAAATGCAACACAGTAAGACGTTATTTATCTGTTAATTAGTTGCTGTCAATTGGAAGGTTTTACATTTTAATAGTGTTTCTATTTCTTTTGTTTTTAATAGTTTTAAATAATTTCACAACATTAATGATTAGTTTCTTTAAGCATTTTTCATTTTTACTTGAATTTTGAAGTTTTCTGCAGCATTACAAAAATGATTATTTTTATTTAATATTGTTCAAATTAAAAAGTGATTATAATTTGTCAGTCTTGGTTTCAATATTTTTTAATATACAGCTGCTAATATCTAATTCCACTTGATCATGTGATGAAATTTTAGAAATAAGATGTGAAAAATTCCAATTTATATATTCAAAATATTTTGAATATAAATGCAGTATGTGTATGTAAACTGTTTCTTTCTCAATGCAGAGTTCCAACTGTGATAAAAAAGTAACATTTGTAGATGCAGAAATATCTCCATCAGCTACAGGTAAGCCCAGTTAAATTTTTCTCTTTAAAATATCAAAATGTTGCTGTTTTGAATATTTTTCTTTTTCATTTGAAAATCTCTTGTCTTTACTTGTGATCAAATGATCTGTCTGCAAAATAATTTTTAATTTTATCTTAATTTACATCAAGTATATTATCAAAATTATCGAATTAGCCATTATTCAACCTATAATAGATTCTTAATACAAATGTATTTCCAATCACCTTGAAGAGGAAAAGATTTCAAGACACAAATTATTTACTTAGAAATCAATCCAGTGCTTCTGCTTCCTTTTAATTAAATATCTCAGTTTAATGATAACTTTTTGTAATACCCTATTTATTTTATTGTTATTAAGCAATATCTGAAGCAATATCTTGTCATTTTCCCTTTTTCTACTAGGAGGCCAAGTGAATGGTGCAGTGAATGGACGTGTTGGCTGCCAACTTGTGCCAGGACTGCTGCTGGTACCAGAGGCCAATCTGCATTCCAACAAAACAGCAGGTAAGACATTGGTTTTATTTTGAAAATAAAACCAATCTCCATAGTTTCAGGGTCAGGTCAATTTAACTGTTTGGTTAGATTATGCAGTAACTCAAAAACATTTGAGGCATTTTTATATAATTACCATACAATTGTTTTTTGTTTTTAATAAAAAAGAAATTGAAAAAAAAAAACAAGTAAATAGAAAACTTTTGGTTCATAACTTTGATTGGGTAAAAATTTGTTCTACTTTAACCATCATGCTTTTTCTCCCTTTACCCAATCAATTTTAATTAACTTTTTTTTGCAAATCTTGGCAAATCAAACTTGATACATTTTCTTTAGGATTCTTTCAAAACTAATTTCCATAACCTAAAGTTTGTTTGCAACAATCCATTTGTGTATGCAATAAATTCAGTAAAATAATGATTATTATGGAATATAAACTAAATATTTTAGTTCATTTGAGCTAATTTCCTAATCTTTATTATTGTTATAATGATTTCAATCATGTCATTTTAGCCACTGTATCCATTGGACTTCCTTGGTTGTATTTTTGAATGTTGGAATTTGATCTTAAGGGACATTCATTTTCCCTTCTGAAGTGTCATGTACATTTAAGTTCTAACATTGGTCAAAATATTGTGATAAAAAATAACAGGCAATGAAATTTGTGCTCTGCTAGCTGATTCCACATTCTGTACTAATATATATTACACTATCCACATATCCCAAACACTTAAGTTTATTTAAAAATAATTTATATTGGTGTTTTGATATAAAGGAACTTTTTAATAAAATTTGGAATGCTCACAGTAATAAAATAAAACATCTGACTGTCATTAAATGAAAAAGTATTTGTTAAATTCTCTTTTATCAAATTTTGGGAAGCTCATTACCATTGACCAATCTTTACAATAAGTGCTGCATGGTTGGAAATCTATCATTTTTGTTCTGTGATAAGTCAATAAATGTTTCTTGTTTTCATTGCAGGCCAAGAAAACAGTGGTCTACTTGGTTTAAGTGGCCGACCTATCACCGCAGCCAGTGCCACACGACCAGAACATCAACTTCGAGAATTGGCTGGTAAACACCAGATTGAAGTTCAGTTTCATAACTATGCCGTTCAAGCAGATTTTGGTAGCAAGGTAAGTATTTGTTTACTCTTAGTCCTAGTAGGCGGTTCAGAACTTCTATTGTTATTATTTAAAAAAAAAAACAAAAAAACTCTTAG